AATATAAATAGTTTTATATGCACTCAACAGGTTGTATTTGTATATTTGGGAATGTGTGTTTGTGTGTGTGTGTGTGTGTGTGTGTACATATGCAACAAGAATTAATGGAAGAGACCATAAATTTGAAAGGAAGAAAGGAGGGGGACATGGAGGGTATGCAGGAAGGAATGAGAAGAAGGAAAAGATGTAATTGTATTATAATCTCAAAAATCAAAAGAAATAAAAGCACTTTGATCAGGCTTGCTACTGTTAGAGTGCTGTGAGCCACAGCAGGCCAATGATTCATTGAACCTACAAGAGGAGAGAAACACATGAAAAAGGTTCCCAAACTCATTTCATCACACAGTGACAAAGTATCCTGCAGAATCGGCATTTCATGACGGAAGTTCTGGCAAGTACTGGTGTCAGTTCCTAATCTCAATGAGAAGCCTAGAAACAAACTACCAGGCAAAACTAAACCAGGTCCTCACACAACCCTAATATACTCACAAGTTGGCATCCCTTTCTTAAAGTTCAGTGAACGCATGCTTGTAATCACAGCACTGGGGAATCAGAGCTAGGAGGTTCCTGGTGGCTTTCTGGCTAGCCAATACCCCTAATCAGTGAGCCTCAGGCCCCAGTGCAAGACACTATCTCAGAAGACAAAGTGGGACTGGAGAGATGGCTTGGCACATAAAGCACTTGTAGGGCATACTGATGACCTGAGGGTGACCCTTGGAACAACTCCCCCCAAATAAAGAAGCCAGAAGCAGTGGTGCACATCTGTAACTGCCACGCACCAACAGGAGATGGGAGGCAGAGACAGGAGTGGTGGCTAGTGTGGAAGCAAGAGAGACTCTGCCTCAAAACAAGGCCAAAGGTAAGAACTAACAAATACTGTCTCCATAAGTGTGCATTGGTGTTCTCTCTCTCTTAGAATAGATGATAGATAGATAGATAGATAGATAGATAGATAGATAGATAGATAGATAGATAGATAGATAGATAGATGGTTATCCTGAGGAATAAGATTCAACATTGAACTCTGGCCTCTACCCCAATAAGCACACACATCCAAGCACAAGTACAGCATACATACAAACACATACACACACACGATAAAGTTAGTGGATTCCATACTAAGGAACAACACCTAAGCTTGACCTCTGGCTCCATCCCTATGAGCACATATGCGCAAAAGCATCCACACATATACAGCAAACACCTCAACAGTCGGCACACACAGAGTTCAGTGACAACCATTATCTTTACTCTCTAAATTATTATATGGAATATTCCATACTATACATGTAAGCAGTGTGATTTAGAGGACAAGTCCCTTCTTTAACTGATCTGCACTTCTGTGGTGTAAGTCCGCCTGCTGCTGTGAGAAGGAATTGGCATGCATTTTCTCCTGAAATAGAAAGGCATTCTAAGAACATACATCAACCCTCAGGAATCCTTCCGTCTAAAACCCATGGATCAACTCATTCTCTCAGGGTTCCACTTTCTGTCTTTCTCAGCAGAGCTGGTTTGGAAAACTCAACTGGAAAGGTTTCAAATTTCTCAGACTTTATTCATTTTACAAAATATGCTTTGAAGTATCATAACAAATAATTGAAAGTAAACAGCACGTTTGAGCTCCGGTCTGTGTTCGTCTGTACTTGCGGCACACACAGCCCTTCCGGCTGCCATTCCTCCACTACCACTGCACCACTGCTTGGGTCCCACGGCTCAGGTTGGCTCGGAAATAATGCAGGGGGGAAGGAACGACCAGGGCACCGTGGCACGTGCCCATGGTGCCAGGTGCTTGGATGGCTGAGATAAGGGAGAATTACTAGAGCCTAGACAACACAGCAGGACCCTGTCTTAAAAGAGGTGGCGAAAGGGGAAGGTGAAGTGAGCACAATCACCACACAAACTCCCCCAGCTGAGGAGAGCACCCAATGGAGGCCTGTTAGGTACTCACCTCAGTACACACTGAGGTGTGTCTGAGGTGCTCTGTGGGCAACTAATGGCCAGACTCTTACAGGGCTGCCCAGTTTTCACAGCACCAGTCACTTGTGCTGTCTTACTTAAGAGAGGCGCTTCCTAGTCTCCATCCATCCTACGCGAGGCAGAAGTGGTGCTCACAGACATGAGTGAACAGGCCCGAGGGGGTCAGCTGGAACCTTAGGTGGTGGAAGCGCGATTTGATTTGGAGACTTCTCAGTTAAAGCCTGCCCTCTTTTTGCCTCTGCTGAACTCAGCAAGGAAGGCAGCAAAGCATAAAAGTCTTAAAGGGAAACTTGCGCTTTCCCCTGAAAGTGATGCGCTTGCTTTTTATTTTTATTTTTTCTGTCTCAGTAACAGGCAAACAGGTTCACTGTGCTTAAGCAAATAGATTAGCCATGTGACTCTCTTAAGAAAGTCCTAGAAGAGCAGATACAATCACAACAGGCATGAGACTTGCGGCCTGCTGTTTTCTTGCTCTTACAAATGTCCACGGTGACCTTAGGCCAAGATTGTTTTATCAGTTATTCACAAAGGTTATGAATAAACAAATTTCCTAAGCATAGGCCTGTCTTTCCTAATCTGTCCTTACCTTTATCAAGCTTACGGCAATAGGTAGCAAAGCATCGGGCAAATTTAGCACAGTGTCACAAGGTACGGTGGGAGGGGACGATGGGATGTAAGAGTGAATCACCTGGACTTAGGAGATAAGGGGCTCTTTGGGGGAGTGCCATGCAGACTAGAAGGCTAGGAGGAACACACTGGCATGAGGACTGGAGGCAGGGAGCCTAATGTGTGGTTTGCCCTAGGCTCACCCTCATAGCTTTAAAACTGCAGCCTCCAGATCTCACCTAGGCCAATGTCAGCAGCTGAGACTGTGGTCCATCTGGCAGCTTGGTTTATGCTCTCTGGGTGATCCTCAGCCACGGCCAGGATTGAGACTCACCGACTTATACCTGTGCTGAGACGAGTTCAGAGTCAACACTATGTGAATTGACTCTGAATGCAGATGGAAGTTTTATGAAAATTCAAAGTAAATTTTAAAACAGTTTTCTTTTTTAAGAACTTTTTCTTGGTTCTTTGTGAATTTAACAGCATGCACCCTAATCCCAATCATCGCCCCCTCACCTCCTACCCGCCCTCCACTCTTGCAACCTCCCGTCAACAGAGAAAAATTAAAATCTCCTGTGGAAGCTAGAGTGTGTTCATGTGTCTCACCGTAAACCTTTTTGTCCATACTTCTTTGTTTGCAAATGTTCATTGCAATGACTCGTCGGTCCACTACGAGGCCTCCGGCTTCTGCTACTCTATCAATACTGGAACCTCACTGGACTCCTCTCAGATATCCTGTTGTTGCCCTGTGTCATGGAGATCCTGTAGTTTTGGATCTGTAGGACCAGCTCCTTCAGGCACTCCAAGCAGTTCATGAATGGGGTAGATGTTGGGGTAAGACAATTTCAAAGCCTTGGATCTGGGCCTGAGGGGTATCTGAGTTGGTCAGCCTGCCATTCTCACGCTCTTGGGGCTGTTCAACAGCAACCCCTGAAACCAGGGCCAGCTTTACCCTGCTGCCCTGGCAAAGTCCAAGGCCCATTCTCCCCAGTGTTGCAGCTGGTGAAGGACATGGCCAGTTCTCCCATTCTCAGGACCCCAGGGCCAGTTCTCCCTCCTGCCAGAGGTGGCAAGGGATGAGGGAGGGGAGGAGAACCTCTCCTTCTCTCTCTGTCTTGGTATATCTCTCTCTCATATCCGTGGCCCCTCCCACACTCCCATCCTTGGGGCCAGCTCACTTGAAACCCCTGCATCCAGGATCAGTTCCACTGGGCTGCCAAAGTGCAGTGGTGCAGGACCTGCGCTCCCACGTGCTGCAGTAGATGAGAGGCAGGGCCAGCTCTCCTGGACAGCCTGGGAGCCAGCTCTCTTGCCTGCTGTAGGTGGCAAGGGGTGTGTGTGGAGGGGGTATCTCTCCCTTTCCCACGTCACCGGATGCCAAACAAGCGGTGGGACCAGCTCCCCATGCTCACACTTTAGGGCCAGTTTGCCTGCAGCCCCACCACCAGGGTCAGCTCTGCCGTGTTGCCCAAGCAAGGTGTCTGGCCTGCTTTCCCTAGTGCTGCAACTCGTGAGGGGCAGGGACAGCTCTCCTGTTCTCATGACCCCAAGGCCCAGGGCTCCCCCTGCTGCAGGTGCTGACAAGCCAAGGGAAGGGAAGTGGTAGGGCTAGCTCTCCCACGCTCACATCCTGGGGGCAGCTCACCTGCAACTCTAGCAACATGCAGGGCGTGCTCTCTGCTGTTCTCAGCACTGCAGCGGGCTAGGGGCAGAGGCAGCACTGCGGCTCTCATGCCTCCAGGGCCAGCTCTCCCACAACGCCCAGGTGAGGGGTGGGGCCAGTTCTCCACAGCCCTCAGATATCAACATGCCTCCAGGCAGCAGCCCAGACTGGAGAGGTCTGCCTGGCCTTTGATGATAACAGATCCCTGCTGCTGCCTGGATAGGGACCCAGACATCGCCCCCAGCGGCAGCAGGGCCAGGACTCTACCATGGTCCTAGATGGCATCATTGGCTACTCACATCAGGCTGTTCCTCACTACCTTCCAGTTCTGCCTCTCTTCATTATGTCCACATCCTTCTGTTTCTCTTCCTCTTTCATTTCTTCACCACTTGCTTCTCTACGTGGTGCTCAGGGTCTCTGAATGTCTGGAATGGTCTCAGGAGTGCTATGCCCTGCTGGTGTATTATGGCACAGGGCAGGGGTCCTCTCAGGCATGGTCTGCCCCTACCCCAGGCCTGCATGGTGCCAGAGTGGTGGTCATCTCAGGGCCCCAGGGCTCTGGTCTGGTGGTTTTCTCATTCTTCCCCCTTGTCTGGTTTGCCCAAGTGGCCCCTTGTCTTGGGCTCACTCCTGTTCGGGGCTTGTGGTCCCAGGCAGGGTTCTTCTAGTCTCTGGCTTGCTCCCCTTCCTAGGAGTCTGTCCAGGCCTACCTGGCATTGGGCTGGTGGTCGTCTTAGGCTTGCTTTTTTCAGAGAATGTTAGGAAACTAATTATTCAGATCTTCCTAGGTCAGAACAGCATAGACATATCCTCTCTCCTCTCTGCCCCCTACTGAAACACATGTGACAGAGCAGCCACACCTGCAGTGCCTCCCGGGGTGGTAAAATTGTTTCCCTAATGTCTATAATGTGTATAATGTGATGTCTTACTTATTTTAGATTTCAACAGTATTTATAATGAGAAATAAATTTCTTTATTTAAAAAAAACCCACATTAGATGTTTGTGCATAGTCTAAATATTGCTAGATTTTCCCAGGAGTTGGGAGGAAACCATTTCTGTAGCAATTTCTTTCTTCTCATAGACAGTCATTCAAACTAAGTATAGTCATGTGACTCCCATTGACCTAGCCATAGTTAGAGTGATCTGTCTGCCCAATAAGAAACACCTGAAGATGTGATTATCTAGCATTCTTTCTCTGACCTGTGATCCCTGGTGGCTTGTGCTGACTGGTGAGAGAGGGACAGTGGAGCCAAAGCAGGAAGGACTGCAAAGCCCACACAAAGGGAAATTAATTTGCAGGGCCACTCACACCATTTGTTGTTTTAAGCAATAACAGGTCCAATTATTCTGGCACAGTCTAGCCTCACGAATAACTACCTTCTCAATCCAGTAAATCTCAAATTATTTTTTGTCTTTTGCTATTCTGATCCATAGACTTTCTAGTCACAGCATTACCCACAATCAGTAAGCCTATTACTATTTCCCCCTTTTCCCTTTGTGTTGTAACTCCTTTCTGTCTTCCTTTCCTACTTAGTAATCCACTTAAAAACCCTTTAGGGATATATAAGCAGGATAGTCAGAAGGTTGCTGACTGAAAGGTGGCCCGATGGATTAGTGGATTTGCTGTACGCATGGGGATTTAAGCAAATATATATAAATATATGAAGGATTATGCAACCAGGTTTTCTCCAGTCTGATAAGAAAAATTTAAATATAAAAAGCATGGAACAAATGTGTTTCAACTGAACTAGAGGCATGGTTAGAAACTCATGTTGAATTTTGATGCTTCTGTCATGGTTCCATGCACTAGTCCCTGGAAACAGCAATAGAGCAAGCACACAGCACCATGCCAAGCACACAGATTTGTGGCAAAACGTATTCTACCAGCAGAGCAGAAGAGGCCTTGGAAAACACTGAATGGCATCCAGGCTGTATCCCTGAAAGCACAACTGGCTTTTGTTGTTAAGTGTGGAGACAATTTGATACTGAGATGCTGAGACATGAAAAAGCACTCAAAGCATGATGGGGCGTGTCAAGATGACACAAAGACCAGTTCAAACCACTGGGGATACCAGGACTATGGGAACATCAAAGTGAATGTGATTGGAATTTATTGTAATTAAATAAAATGTGGAGACCATGCAGATTTAGGAAAAGAGGGAAATGATGAGAAAGTTCTCCATGCCAATGTATGCCAGTTATTGAATGTAAAAGAAACAATAGAAGCAGAAAACCACCATTTGGCAACAATCATAATAATAATTAGTTCATGCAAAACACATCAATAAATGCTGAAATTTGCAGGCAAAATTTAGAAGACAAGTGGAATAGTTACATAGCCCCAAAGTATCTTTGTATAAAAGACCTATTCATTACAAAGGAAAAGAATTACTTTCTAATGCAGCAACCTGGCAGAAACCACCTGGATCAAGTGTAGCACCAACTGGAACAGCATCAAATGCTAATCATGAGGCAGCTAATAAGCTGCCAGAAAACATTTACATTGTCTTAGATATTCCTGCCAAGGATGCATGCATAGCCTGACCTGTGAGGGAACAGCAGAATCCCCTAAGCCAAGCAACATTCTATAAGGTAACATGCCCATTATCTTAGAAAATGTTATAGTCGTAAAGTCAGGGTAAAACTATGGAATTTTCTGGACTGAAGATGTGTGACAAGCGCCATGTGGATCTGTGTTAAATCATTTTGCTAGGAAAGCCATCATTAGGGTAATTGGTAAAATCTGAACGAAGTTGCTGATTGCATAGGTTAAGTTTCTTGTCAACTTGACCCACGCTAGGGTCATCTGGGAAAAGGAACCCCTCAACTAAGGAAATGTCTCCACTAGATTGGCCTACAGGCAAGGCTGTGGGGGTACTTTCTTAATTGGTGATTGGTGGGGGAGGGCCCAGCCCACTGGGTGTGGTACCAACCCTGGGTAGCTGGCCCTGAGTGTATGAGAAATCAGGCTGAGCAAGCCAGAAGGAGCCAGCCAGGAAGCAGTGTACTATGGTCTCTGTTTCAGTTTGGGCCTCCTGGTTCCTGCCTTGACCTCCTTCTGCCAACAACAGATTGTGATCTGGATGCATAAATCAAATGAAGCCTTTCCTCCCTAAGCTATTGAAGTAAACAAGAACAGTGAATGACATATGAAAAGTTTTTGGACTGTTCTTGAAAAGTTCCTGTAATTTTGAAATTGTTTTTAAAACATAAGAATCTCACTAGTTAAAACAATTTGTAATGCTTTTTGTATACTCATTTGAGATTTGTGGTATAAACTAAAAGCTGTAGTCTGTTTGAAAAAAAAAAAGCCTCCAGTTACATGGCATCTGCTGGGGTAATGTTTGTTTGATTATTAATTTTGAGGCAGGGTCTCACTCTGTAGATAGAGCTGGTCTCAAACTAGTGATTCCGCTGCCTCAGGCTCCTCAGTACTGAGATTACAGGCACACATCTCCATACCTAACTAGTTTTGTAACTTCTAATGAAGTACCTGAAACTAAGAATCTCAATTTTTAAAGGCTACGTACACTTGTCTTCCATGTTTAAGATTTCACAGTTGTTTACTGTTTTCAGAACAGAGAAGGGCTGTAAACACAAAAACTTCAAGAGAAAAGCTGATGGGGACCTAAACAAAGATTTGTTCAAACAACATTAAAGACACCGATAGAGACAGAGTACAAGACAAATATGTCAGCTTGCAGACATGAAGAAAGGGGGCTGCCAAACATTCTGGAGGAGAGGGACAAAGATGGAAATAATGAAGCAGCCCCATCTAGAAATGCCTTCACAGACAGGTCAGAGGTTTGTGTAGGGAATTCAGGAACTCATCAGGTTGATGATGAAATACAACTGATAATAACGTAATTAACTGATAATATAACTTGATAATAATAAGTGATCATGGAAACGTTAATTTAATTCCATCTCATGGACGAGAAAACTGAGGCCCAAGGAAGTCAAGAAAGGTAACATGTCTAAGAGCACAGAGCTAGTATGTGGCAGCCCTGGGAATCAGAGTCAGGTTGTCCGGCTCCAGAGAACACCTCCTTTCCAGATACATGTCACTGCCTTTTGCTACATTGAACTCCCACGTGATATTTATTCTCCAGATGTTACAACCCCTTTCCTATGGCTTCTGTTATTCCTGATACATATATCTTGGTTCTAATTCACTTACAACCTTTCCTTACCTCTTTCCTTACTGGCTTGGTGTCCCTGCTATGTACCAAACAGCCCTCAGGAGCCTGCATCCTAGAGGGGAAGTACATCAGCATGTAAATTTGCATGTATGTAAATTCCCTACTCTTTGCATCTCACGTCTTTAGTTTCCCACTAATGCTTCACAAAAGGATAGTGCTATTTATTTGCTTAGTTCCATTAACTTAAAGATCACTTACAGATGTCTGAAACTTGTTTATATATTTTCCTCAAAAATGAAAAGAACTGAATGGTTTGGAGGGGGCTTTTGTTTTGGATTTTTTTGTCTTATAGGGTTTTTTTGTTTGTTTGCTTTGATTTTTATATCTTTTAGAGAGAGAGAATATGAAGTTGGGTGGAAAAAGAGGTGGGTGGATCTTGGAGGAGTTGAGGAAGAGGTAAAACATGATCAAAAGATATTGTATAGAACCAGACTAATACCCCAACCAAGGACCATGCATGGAGATAACCTAGAACCCCTGCACAGATGTAGCCCATGGCAGCTCAGTCTCCAAGTGGGTTCCCTAGTAATGGGAACAAGGACTGTCTCTGACATGAACTCAGTGGCTGGCTCTTTGATCACCTTCCGCTGGCTGATAGGGGAGCAGCCTTACCAGGCTACAGAGGAAGACAATGCAGCCAGTCCTGATGAGACCTGATAGGCTAAGGTCAGAGGGAAGGGGAAGAGGACCACCCCTATCAGTGGACTAGGGGAAGGGCATAGAAGGAGGTGAGGGAAAGAGGATGGAGTTAGGAGGGGATAAAGGAGGGGGCTACAGCTGGTATTCAAAGTGAATAAACTCTAATAAATAAATAAATAATATATAGTGTATAAATTAACAAAAAAAAGAGGCCATGAATTTGAAGGCAAGTGAGAAGTATATGGGAGAGTTTGGAGAGAGGAGAGGGACGAACAAAATACTGTAATTAAATTACAATCTAAAAAATGTAATTCATTTCAAATAAATTGTGATAAATAATACTTGAACAATTAAAAATATATACATTGTATAGGTTTTTTTTAATTTAAAAAGAGAGAGAGAGAGAGAGAGAAGAAAGATCCTGGGCTGGTATTTACTCGCTGTGGCCCTTGAACTTTCAGTTATGGAGAACAGTCAGGTACTCTGCTGCTAGATTCAGTTGCTTGAGACCAAACCTTAGCTCCTCCCATTCAATCCACACCCTTTATGTCTCTTGTTAGAAAACAGTCTCTATTAAATACAGTAAAATATGCATCATCTTAAAATAATGGTTTTGAACCTCTCAGTGGGGTGTCCTTTCCTTAGGTCTTCTGTAGTTTTTTTCAACAGTGCTTCCCATATTCAAACATGTATTTCTCTTGTTAAATTCATTCTTAAGCATTTTGTTCTTCCTGATGTTACTGTAAATGAAATTGTTTTTTTAATATTATATTCAAATAATCAAGGACTGGGGACCCATGTCATGGTAAGGCACTCGCCTGGAATGTACAAGGCCCTGAGTTTTATCATTGGTGCTCTAAAAAAATTGTTTTCAAATTCATTATTAGTATATAGAGAGCTGAGTTTTGTTTATCAATCATGGGTCATGTAATTCACTTATTAATTCTAATAGCTGTGATTAGGTGAATATCCCTTAAGATTTTCTATATTTAAGACCATGTCATCTAGAAATGACCATTGGCTTTTGAATATTGAATTTG